AAAAACTAATTAAACTCATCAATCAGTTCAGCAAAGTGGCAGGATACAAAATCAAGATGCAAAAGTCAGTAGCCTTCCTATACACAAACAATAAATCTGAAGAAGAAGAATTTAAAAAAAAATCCCTTTTATTCTCAAAACAAAAAAAAATCAAATACTTCGGAATAAATCTAACAAAAGAGATAAAGGACCTATACAAAGAAAACTAAAACACTGTTAAAAGAAATAGAAGAAGATACAAAGAAATGGAAAGACATCCCCTGCTCATGGATTGGAAGAATAAACATTATTAAAATGCCCATCCTATCAAAAGCAATATACAGATTCAATGCTATTCCAATAAAAATTTCAATGACATTCTTCAAAGAAATAGAACAATTATTGATGAAATTCATATGGAATCACCAAAAACCCCAAATAGCCAAAGCTCTCCTGAAAAAAAAGAGGGGAATGGAGGCATCACATTCCCAGACTTCAAACTATACTACAAAGCCATAATCATCAAAACTGCATGGTATTGGAACAAGAACAGACACACAGACCAATGGAATCAAATAGAAAAATCCAGAAATAAACCCACAGATTTATGGTCAACTAATCTTTGACAAAGGAGTAAAGAATATGCGTTGGAGCAAAGAAAGTTTGTTCAATAAATGGTGCTAGGAAAACTGGGTCGCTACATGCAAAAGAATGAAGCTTGATTACTACCTCACACCATGCACAAAAACCAACTCAAAATGTATTAAAGAACTAGACATAAGACCTGAAACCATAAAATACATAGAAGGAAATATAGGTGAAACACTACAGGATATGCACATCAAAGACATCTTTACAGACACATCACCCAAAGCAGTGATAGTGAAGGCAAAGATCAACAGCTGGGACTACATCAAATTAAAGAGCTTCTGCACAGCAAAAGAGACAATAACAAAAACAAAGAGAAACCCCACCGACTGGGAGAACATTTTTGCACACAACACTAATGATAAAGGACTGATCACAAAAATCTGCAAAAAGCTGATGAGACTCAGCAACAACAAAGAAAATAATCCAGTCAAAAAATGGGCAGAAGAGCTAAAAAGAAACTTCTCTGAAGAGGAAATGCAAATGGCCAACAGACATATGAAAAAATGTTCAACATCACTTGTAATCAGGGAAATGCAAATCAAAACTACCATGAGATACCATCTCACACCAGTGAGAATGGCACATATTAAAAAAGCTAGCAACAACAAATGTTGGCGAGGATGTGGAGAAAAAGGAACTCTTGTGCACTGTTGGTGGGAGTGCAAACTGGTCCAACCACTATGGAGAGCTGTGTGGAGATTTCTGGACCTACTAAACATAGAGCTTCCATATGATCCAGCAATTCCACTCCTAGGTATTTACCCAAAGGACACAGAAACATCAATTCCAAAGAGCACCTGCACTCCTATGTTTATAGCAGCACTGTTTACAATAGCTAAGCTTTGGAAACAACCCAAATGCCCAAAAATAGATGACTGGATCAAGAAGATGTGGTACATATATACCATGGAATATTACTCAGCATTCAAAAAAGATAAACACATGCAATTTGCAGCAACATGGATGGCACTGGAAGGGATCATGCTCAGCGAAATAAGCCAAAAAGAAAAAGAAAAATACCGGATGGTCTCACTCATAGCAGGAATCTAGAAAACTTAAATAAGGGACCAGGAAAATGAATATAAGAAAGTGAAAATCAAAATCAACAAAAAAACTATGAACCAGAGACACTTTTTGGGGGTGGGGGGGCGGGAGGGGAAGGATTGGGGTCAGAATGGGGCGTTTGCAATTGTATGGGGGAATATAAAAATAAAATTTAATATTTAAAAAAAAAAAAAGAAGAAATACAAATGGTCAACAGGCATATGAAAAAATGTTCAACATCACTTGTAATCAGGGAAATGCAAATCAAAACTACCATGAGATACCATCTCACACCAGTGAGAATGGCACATATTAAAAATCTAGCAACAACAAATGTTGGCGAGGTTGTGGAGAAAAAGGAACTTTCCTGCACTGTTGGTGGGAGTGCAAACTGGTCCAGCCGCTGTGGAGAGCTGTGTGGAGATTTCTTGACCTACTAAAATTACAGCTTCCATATGATTCAGCAATTCCACTCCTAGGTATTTACCCAAAGGACACAGAAACATCAACTCCAAAGAGCACCTGCACCCCTATGTTTATAGCAGCACTGTTTACAATAGCTAAGCTTTGGAAACAACCCATATGCCCAAAAATAGATGACTGGATCAAGAAGATGTGGAAGAGCACAGGGCAGGAAGAGCACAGGGCAGGTTTTCTGATCTAGCAGACGGGTAAAGGAGGAGTCCTAGAGCCCTCATGGGTTTCTCAGGCTTTTATTGAGCTGTTACATATAGAGCAGCAACCAGGTACATGGCAGGCAGGGGTGCCAGGGGGCCCTGGCCTCCTCCCAGGCAAGACTTCACTCTGGGCTTCTCAGGCCTTCTTACTCCCCTTCTCTCTCCTGCCTCTCTCCTGCTGCTGCTTTCAGTGACTACTTCAGTACCCTTCCCATGGCCCACAGCAGTAAACAAGTCAGCAACAATGTAACAACTGCAAGTGCCCCATCAGGCAGGGCAATCCTAATGGTGGGAGGGCAGAAAAGCCTGAAAAAACATTTACGCTACACTACAACAGCATATTTTTCATGAATCATTGAAGTAGTTATACTGAGACCCATAGTCAGTGTAATGCCTTATATCCAACATTGAAAACACTGCCTGTGTAATGCTATGTTGTTCTTGTTAGTTTTTCACCACCTCTTGCCATCAGGTTACTGCAGATGTTACAGAATAAATGACTTTTCTACAAATGATAGATGGATGGATGGATGGATGGATGGATGGATGGATGGATGGATGGGTATGTATGTATGTATGTATGTATGTATGTATGTATGTATTTTTTTACATACCCACATAGCATCACATAAGAAAAAGCTGAAGTTTTCATATTGTTCTGGTTTGGAACCTTAGATTTTGATCAAGTAAAGTAGAAAGTAATATAATCAGCTGCATTTCTGTTTTTTCCCTTCTCTTGGCTATGTGCCTCTGAATACTGAAGTTTTTCCTAGAAAATGCTTGTGGGCAGACAGATTGTACCTATTTAGAAAAATGTAATCCTGGTGAAGAAATGGTTCCTTCTTAGTTTGTGCATTTTTTGCTGTTTTTGCTTTTAAGTTTGCAAATGCTGTGGCTTCTGTCTAGACTGCTGGCCTCCCTCCTTCTGTATTATTCATGCAGTAGGCCTTACAAGCCCACTGACGGTCAGAGCCAGCTCATTTTGAAACATTTCATGAGTTTTTATTTTGATTTCGTAGGCCAAGCAGCTTTGTGTTTGCTTACAAATTTTCTCTTTTTCCAACTTGATTTGATTTGCCACTTGCTTGCATAACTGTAATTTTGGGAGTACACCTTCACACCTCCATATGGGCGCATACCCCCAAAACACCAGTGCCCCCTCACTGTCACCGTCCCTTTATAATCAGTATATTTTTCATCATCTAAGAATTATTCTTGTTTCTTATAAATTTTCTTAGACATTCGCTGACATCAGTGTTTCTTAGATACCTTTCTTACTGTATTATTCTTCTTCCTCTATGCTTTAATAATGTCTGTTAAAGTTTTAATGTCTTTTAAATAAATCAAATTTCCATTTCTGGTAGTGTTACAGGGCAAACCCCGATATAAAATGGGGTTTCTTGACTGTGGGTCCTCACCGCATGCTTAAAGGGGACTTATAAATGCTAAACTGCAGACATACACAAAAGATTTATTTACAAGGGAAGGGAAAATGGAAAATGAATAACTCAGGGAGAAAAAGAGGGAGATAAGTTCCTAAATGCGTCCTACCCGCTGACCTGTAATCCCAGTGACCCGCCGAGCTGGCAAAAACCTAGCACACCTCATGGCCAAAAGGGGGCCACATGGCCAGTTAAATACCCAAACCGAGAGCCTAGTTGCTTAACTCCACCCTCAGGTCCTTGCAACCTTTCCTTTGGTGATCATGGGATTTGTAGTTCGGAGTGTCATGGGGGTGGAGTCCACAAAGCCTGTATGGAGTTTGCTCAGGACATCCTTCACCCCTGTCAGTAGCACTTTGAAGAATAAAACTTTATGAGCAGTTTTTTGATCAATGTGGAAATATTTTTTATTTTTTGTTTTTGTTTTTTTTGTTTGTTTTTTTTTTCTTGTTGAGTTATATGAGTTGTTTGGAGAGCTCAGATATCAGCCCCTTTTTAGATGTAAGATACGCAAATATCTTTCCCATGTAGTTATGTATTTTTCATTTTATTGGTAGCTTCTGCTGTGCAGAAACTTTTTAGTTTGATGTCCCACTTGTTTACTTCTGTATCTTTCCCTTGCTGATAGTCAAACCCCCACAAATATCCTTGAAGCCAGTGTCTTAGAGTGTTTGTCTGCTTACATATATGTATTTTATGGTTTCATTATCTTCCATGCAAGTGTTAATCCATTTTGAATTAATTTTTTTGTATGGAATACCCTCCATGTCTGATTTGATTCAGTCTTTGCGGGTCTCTCGTGTCCAAGAGGTGCTGCAGGTTTGCCCTGAAGCACTGGGCTGGGTGTAGTTTCCCTCTGTTTAACTCTTAGATGATCCTTTCAGGAGCAAAGCAAAAACACCTCTGTTACCATCTTGGTCTGAATTCTAGATACTCTTCTTTGCCAGACTTTGGAATTTGTATTTTATTTTACAAATGTTGCGGAAACCTTTTATGTTCTTAAGAAAAAATCCAGGCAGTTATGGTTAATAAAGCTAGAAAGATTGGTCTATCTGTGTTTGGAGGAAGGAGTGTTCTAAGAGCAAGGGACCAGTGAGTGCCTCTTTGGAGTATTTCATGCACAACAATTTTCTATATCCTCATGAAATGGGTTTCCATTAGTTGTGTCTTTTTAAGATGACTTCTTTTTTTACAATATGTGCTTTAGATTCTGCTTCGTGAAGGCTGCAAGAAGATTCTCGTAGCTGACTCTTTGTCATTACTGAAGAAGATGCACCGAACTCAAATGAAAGGCGTCCTGGTGGATGGTAGGTAAAATTGAAATAATCATATTGGCGTCCTATGCCTTGCTTTCAGAAGAGCCTGGCAAAATAGAAACATTGTATAATCCGAGTATATGTGTTTCCTTGCAGATGAGAACATCTGTGAATCCTGCCTTTCCCCTGTTCTTCCATCAGGTAAGGTGGTTGGAAGGAGAAAAACATTCCCAAGTATGTGTTAATGATGAGTAGAATTAAAATTTTGAAGTTAGCTAATTACTATTTATAAAATTATGTAACTCAGAATAATCCCAATCAGAGATGTTTCAGCCCACATCCTATTTAATTGAAGGTTGGTGCTTCCCTTTGTTAGAGCTGAGATTCTCAAATGAGTGTGCGTGACTGGTTGAAACCCAGATTGCTGTTCCCAAACCAGAAGCCCTCATGCCATAGTTCTAGGACACAACTTGAGAATTTGCATTTCTAACAGGTGCCCAGGTGATGTTGATGCTATCAAATTAGGGACCATTGTTTGAGAACCAATACTCTGGAACCAAATAAATTGAAGTCACCATCAACATGTTTAAATTCCCAAATAGAAGAACCATGTGTGTATCTGAAAAAAAAAAATTATAGGCAACTTTCCCTTGTATTTAAACATTTTCTCTCCTATATGGTTCTAGTCACACAAGTTATTGCTTATTTCTTTTTTATATAAATTATTTTATTTTATATAATTCTTATATCATTTTTCATTTTTGCATAATGTATGCATTTTCATTTTTGTTATATTCCCCATACAATTCCCACCCCCCTTCTTCTGACCTTAATCCCTCTTCTCCTCCCCCTGGCCCCCAATGTAGTGTGTCTCTGGTCTATAGTTGCTTGTTGATTTTGATTTTTACTTTGCAATTAGTCTTTTTCCTGTTCCCTTATTTAGGTTTTCTAAATTCCTGCTATGAGTGAGACCATCTGGTATTTTTCTTTAAGTTACTGCTTATTTAAATGGAAACATAATATCACCATCTGATGAGAATGGTTGATTCCCTTAAGGGCAAAATAATTGTTTACATTTCATTGTATGTGTAACTTCATGTGTAATCAGAGCACCTGATGACATGAGAAAAGGAAATTCCCTAATATGAAAATAGAAACTAAAGCATAGTTGTTAAAATGCTAACACTTTATTGGGCATTTGGGTTTTTCCATAGCTTAGCTCTTGTAAATAATGCTGCCATAAACATAGGGCTGCAGGTGCCCTTTGGAATTAATGTTTCTGTGTCCTATGGGTAAATACCTAGGAGTGGAATTGCTGGATCATATGGAAGCTCCATCTTTAGCAGGTTGAGGAATCTCCACACAGCTCCCCATAGAGGTTGGACCAGTTTACACTCCCACCAGCAGTGCAGGAGAGTTCCTTTTTCTCCACAACCTCACCAACATTCCGTTGTTGCTAGTTTTTTCAGTATGTGCCATTCTCACTGGTGTAAGATGGTATCTTATTGTAGTTTTGATTTGCATTTCCCTGATTACACCACGTGATGTTGAACATTTTTTCATATGCCTGTTGGCCATTTGCTTTTCCTCTTTGGAGAATTTTCTTTTTAGCTCTTCTGCCCATTTTTCGACTGGATTATTTACTTTGTTTTTAGTGAGTCTCATCAGCTCTTTGTAGATTTTTGTGATGACTGGATCAAGAAGATGTGGTACCTATACACAATGGAATATTACTCAGCAATCAAAAAAGATAAATACATGCAATTCGCAGCAACATGGATGGAGCTGGAAGGGATCATGCTCAATGAAATAAGCCAGAAAGAAAAAGAAAAATACCAGATGGTCTCATTCATAACAGGAATTTAGGAAACCTAAATAAGGGACCAGGAAAAAGACTAATTATAATAAAGTAAAAATCAAAATCAACAAGCAACTATAAACCAGAGACACACTACAGGGGGGGAGGAGGGAGTAAGATCAAAACAAGGAGGGATGGGAATTGTATGGGGACTGTAACCAAGATGAAAATGCATCCATTGTGCAAAAATGGAAAATAATGTAAAAAATATAAAAAATTTAAAAAATAATAAATTTAAAAATGCTGGGCCTCCCTGGGCCTCCTCGGTGGCGCAGCAGTTGAGCGCTGGGTTGCGAAGCTGCCCACAGCCTCTGCAGTGCCGGTTCCATCCCCAGCTGCCTGCGAGGGTCCCACATGGCACACAGGTCTCTCCTGCCGCCTGCTGCTCCCCTCAGCAGTATACTTCATCACTCTGCCTGTTCTACTCTCCGCTCTGGCTCTGGTGAATTCTCTCACCCTCCCGCGCTTCTGACTGTACCCAGTGCTTGTATAAATAAATAAATAAATAAATCTTAAAAAAAAATTTTAAAAATGCTAACTAACACTTTTAAAATATAATTCAGCATAGAGATTTACATTTATTTCACTTTAAGGGATTAATAGGGAGGAGCACACAGATTCTTTTCTATAGGAAATAATTTTGAATTACAAGTGGTTATGTTTAAAACTACAGTGAGCTCAGGAAGTGAATTCTCAGTGTGCTTGCTGGGCAGTGTTTAAATAGAAAGACACCACATGCACCCATACTGTACAGAATTCTAAATCTTTCCAGAGATAAGCTGGCTACACAGAGAAGTTGCAGATGAGGTGCAGGGTCCAAGGAGAACTTCAGTGCAATATAAGGTCACAGCCTCTAATTTTAACCCAGCTATTCTCTGGAGTCATTGAATGAGCTTGGCAAAGTTAGGTGAACTGGCAGAAAGCATTTTTAGAAAGCCACAAAATTGACTTCCCTAAATGGCATATAAAAATTACAGGTATGAGGGGTGGGGGTAGGGCCCACACATGCATGTAAGACTGATTCTCATTTTTGAAATAATGTTGTTGTATTTGCTATAAAATTGTTCCCACTTCGTGGTCATATAGTAACTCAGTTGGAAGCAAACCAAGTAACCTATGACTGACGTAGCAGCACGGTCGTAATACCTGCTTCACATTTCATCACCACACCCCTCAACAACACAGTTGTTAATAAAGCCATCCTCCAAAGGCAGCATATTGCTGGGAAATTAAAATACACCCGAACTCCAAGTCAAGACTAAAAGTCAAAACTAAAAGTTTCGTCAGCTACTTGCGCATTGAGCTCTTCTTCCTTTACTCCCTCTGCCCCACAGATGCTGCCAAGCCCTTCAGCGTGGTGGTCTTCCATTGCCGCCACATGTTCCACAAGGAGTGCCTGCCTGTGCCCAGCATGGTGAGTTGGCAGCTTGGCAGCTATAACTAAAGAAAAATTGGTGCAATAAGAGCACTGTGTACAAAATTACAGGACTGTCATCCTGTGGCTCTGTGGACTCTCAAAATTACAACATCGTTTCATATCACATAAGAAAAATCCATGTATTTCTTAAATGTAAAAATATTAAGTGTATTACACTAAATATTATATAAGTTGAATTGTTCAGGTAAATTCTATACATGTGAAATACAGTGAGAACCAGAACCATTTTATATTTTGTATAACTTTCTCAGCCTGGCTTTTGTGTCACGGCACGGCTATATTTTAGTGTCAAGTCAATTTTCTCCATGTTCCCCCAGGTCCCATTAGAACTATTTTGCAGTAGAGAGTCCTTTGAGTCACAGAATAACTGATCCAGGCAGACTCTTACATGAACCAGAAATAATCTCTAGGAAAAGGAGTGACATTTCATAGCTTCCTTCTCACCCCTCCTGCCCAATGCGCCCATAATATTTCTGAATGTGAGTAAAAAGAGAAGATCTTTTTCTTTAAAATCTCCATTTTTCAATTACATTTTCAGAGCTCTCCTGCACAATTCTGCAACATCTGCAGTGCTAAGCACCGTGGACCAGGAAGTGCCATTTTGGAGATGAAAAAATAGCTGAGTGCTATTCACCAGTCTCTTCCTCACCACTCTTTTGAAGACTGTTTTTGCAGCAACAGAAGCATTTGTTGACATCAGTGCTGTGAAGAGATTTGTACAAATTTATAATATGCCCCCTAAAATTTTCTTCATCTTCACCTGTCTACTAGAAGTTTCTTTGCTGAAGGTAAAGAAATTAAGGTTTTCCCGCATCCATGCCTGGAAATATTTGGGTTCATGGATTTATTTGCTTCCTCTTTGCTTAAAAGTGCAAACGCAAATATGGGGGTTGGAAATGAATTTTTTGTCTTGGTGAAACTATTCAGCTGTGAAGTGTATGAGGGAGAGTTATCCCAGCTGTCCAAGAGCATCGCCGATGCAGCCATCCAGCTGATGCCTACGCAACTTGAACTTTGTTTCCATATACTCTGCTGGCAGAATTCCTACATTTTGGATTTGCTTTTCTTTTATATGTCCTCAACTGTGGTTATCTTCTTAATAGGCATTTAATGAAACATTGTATAAATTGTCACTCATCCATGACATCTGGGGATGACATTGGCAGGCTGATCTCATAAAGCTTTATGTTAACTAATCACATGTTCTGTGTGTCCTGAAAATTAGCAGTGTCTGGTGCTGGCAGGCACTGAGCGTTTGTTGATTGAATAAATATTAGCTCTTCTCATTGTAAGACTCACTTTTACTGGGTTTAACAACTTCAGTCAATAATTTTGTTACCCTCATAAGCAATAGGAAAGCTTCAGCACCTTGCAGTGTGAAGGGTTTTAAGTAGAGTTTATTAGTAAGGAGAAAATAAATGACACTATAAAATCTAATGGCGATTCTCAGGAGAGTCTCCAGACTAATGCCAGAGGATGGGCATAATGTTGTTTTCTATCGCCTTCTCTGGACCCTCCTTTACCCTCACAGAACAAAAAGAGCGTGAGAGCATAGAATAGAGGGAGAGAATGAAAACTTGTGTGACAGTGTCTCATAGACTTCTGTCTTGGGATATATTGCCAGCACTAATGGGTATAAAACTGTGAAAACACATACTCATTGTCCCCGCTCTCTTGGCCTGTAACTAAAGTATAGCTTTTTCTCTCTTTTTTGGAGACAGAACAGATCCCAAAGAGTACTGAGCATATACTAACTACTGAACTTAACCCAGCCATTCTCATGAGCAACACCTCACTTAATTCTGACAGCAATGCCAGAAAGAGGGTATTCTGTCAATTTACTGTCAAAGAAAGCAAAATGTAGAGATGCTATCACAGGTGCTGAGGGCACTGCCTGGCTTCTGAGCAGAGCTCCCAAGCCCTGTAAGAAATCATATGGCCAGGCTCAGAGGAAATACCTCTGAACAATACCTCTCTGCATTGCACTTAAAAGAACATTCTCTAACAGACAGGAGTCTGTTAGTCTTAAATTTAGAACTGAAATGTCCTTTGCTGGTATTGAATGGCAGCCCTTGGCACTCTCAGTATTTCCTTATTTCAAGACTATAGTCTTTTAGCTACCCTGCTAGTTTTCAGTTTTTGTTTTTAACAAACTCCTCCTTCACAAACACTTTACAAGTAAGTCCCATTTGTTTTTGATGTTTGTTTGTTTATTGCTAGTACATCAATCTTTGAACTTTCCTTGTGCTTCCACATTTACCTTACTTATCTTACTGCTGTCCAGTCTTCATTCACCCTGATTTCCCGAGACTGTCGAGGAGACCTCTCACCACTGATAGTACCCATCTGCCATTTTACATCGTACTGCAGTTGTCCATGTATCATCAAGTTTAAGTCATCTTCTTATTACAAATTCTACCAAATGGTATATGGTTTACCTTTTGTTCATGGTAAATTTAGCTAAATCAAATCTTCCTGAAGTTAATTCAGGGAACCTTTTTTCTCCTGGTTGCTTCTAAGTTTAGGGTGGGAACAACGGAGATCACCTCATTATGTACGGTTTTCAATGAGAAAGAGGAAATGGGTCTTCAACTGACCTCTTATCAAAGGTGCCATTGGCAAAAATGCCATCCTCTGCCCAGCCTTCCATCACCTGTGCCTGCTGCTGCCTAGATGTCTGTGGGCCCAGCTGGTGTCTGATCCATAGTTCTCAACTAACCCTAATGCTCCAGAGAATTGGTCTCTGCTGCTTGCTCACCATGCCCAACAGTGTGTGTATGGAGGGGGAGGGGAGGAGGGGAGGGAGAGGAGAAATGGGGAAAGCAGGTATTTGGTTTACAAGGTTGCTATGTCTCAAAGGAAATAAAAAGTGAGGGCACTTTGTGTCATCAGAACTTTAAAAGTATGTGCTGTGTCTGTCTCTACCACATTCCCACCCAAGAGCTCAGTCCCAGAGCACAGGACAGGGTGCCCGTCCTTACCAACTCTCTTCTCCCTGAGTCTGTCTGCTCTTCCTCTACCCCAGTGCAGTCCAATCCTTCATTATTGGAGGCAGGGAAACTGGCTCTAGCTTTATTATGTGTTGTGGTGTGAACTTTGGTTAGTTGGTGCTCAGAGGGCTGAGACTCCTGTAAACTGTTATACCAAATAGCCTGCCTTCCTTCTTTTTTGATAGTGGCACATAATGATATATTTTCAAAATTCCATCAACTTATCTGACTAGAATGACCATATACTTTGTGATCCAAACCAAGGCATTTGCAGAATGTGAATGGACACTATTTAAAAACTACTCCAAACCAACAGTGCTATCTCAGGGACCCTAAGAAAAGTGTCATCCTCTCTGGCACATAGTACAATTGGTTCAGTCCTACATGTTACTTAAAGCCAAAACTGACTATCGGTACTGCCTCTGAGGGCAGCTGTGTGAGTCTTACCGGTGAATTCTGCTCACTTTCACTGACAGACTGGCAGAAAAAAGAGGTGGAGGCTGAAGAGGGAGAGAGGACACACTAAAATAACCTCTTCAAATTCCTTGCTGCAAAACAGAGCAAATTATTGAAACTTTAAATCCATAAAATTTAGCTCTGAGCTCTATGGAGTTTAAGAACTGAGTTGCTCTGCTTTCTAAAGTGAGAGAAGGAAGAGATCAAGCAAACTGGGTAATCAAGGACTTCTAAGGAAAGGAAAGATTATTCAGTTTTATGTGGCGTTGATGCTAAACTCTTTCATCTCCCTGAGATTCTGTGAAGGCTGGCTTATAAATTTCATTATCAGTGAGTAGATTTTAGGGAACTGAAGAGCTCTGATCTACATCCAGGACCTTGGTGAGCATGAAGAAATTAATGACAGTAGGGAGCAAGAGCTGGAGTTGAATGGGAATAGTTCAGATTCATACATGACAACAATGTAGAAACTCTGGAATTTGCTGAAATATTGGAAGAAAACTGGTGGATAAAGGCCTTGAAGCAATGTTAAAGAAATTTTAAAGAATTGACTGGGTAACTTCAGCTACATTGAATTCCATATTCATATCCCTACTGACAGAATTTGACGATGGAATGTACATTTAACTTCACATTCCTAAATAAGTTTACTTCAACACCTATGTACATTTGTCAGTGGGCTTTTAGTCTAATTCTGAAGTCAACAACATGTATTGAACATCAAGTTGGGTAGACACATTATACGTGCTGATTTCTGGAGTTATTTTACGTCAAGTTCTGTGTATATAAGTAGGAGGACTTGTAGATGGAGCAAGTGTGGTGAAAGTAATTCACAAATGATGGAATCAATAAAGAAATGACAAAATTTTAACAGTTGAAATGCAAAAAAATTCTTCATTTATGCCCAGAAAAAAATATATATTTTCTCATCAGTGCCTTGGGAGAAACCTGATAAGAAATACAAATGAAAACAGAGGCTTTGGTAAGAAATAGGAGTGTTTTGCTCTGAAGTCACACCCACATTCTAATCCATGTTCTGTCACTGAGAAATAAAATAAGTTGTGCACGTTACTTAACATTTCTTTTTTTTTTTTTAAAGATTTATTTATTTATACAAGCACTGGGTACAGTCAGAAGTGCGGGAGGGTGAGAGGATTCACCAGAGCCAGAGCGGGGAGCAGAGCAGGCAGAAGGACAGAAGTACACTGCTGAGGGGAGCAGCGGGCGGCAGGAGAGGTCTGCGCGCCATGTGAGACCCTCACCAGGCAGCAGGGGATCAAACCGGCGGCGCTGCAGAGGCTGAGGGCAGCTTCGCAATCCAGCGCTCAACCACTGTGCCACTGGGGAGGCCCTGTTACTTAACATTTCTAAGCCTTGTTTGCCTCAAAGGTAAAGAGGTGATGGTATTATAATCTACTTTGGAAGATGTTGAGAGTGTTAGGGACATGACACATGAAAAGTGCTCAGTAGCACAAACTCAGGAAAAGTAACTAGCATCTAGAAAATGCTTAATAAATGCCAGTCTCCAAGCTTTACCTCTACCAGGGTTGGTCTGTGACCAATAGAATATAACAGAATTGATGGTACTTTATTTCCAGGATCAGGTCGTGAAAAGGACTATGACTTGACAGCTCTCACTGAGAGGGAAGCCACGTTGTGAATAAAGAGACCCACATGGTTATGAGCCGAAACTTCAGGCCAACAGCATGTGGAGGAGCTTGGAGTTGATTATCCAGGGACAGTACAGTGCTCAGACTCTGCAGGCACAGCCTCAAATTGGATTGTAAATTCATGAAAGACCACTCATCTGAGCCACTCTTGGATACCTGATTCTCAGGAACTGTCTGAGATAATAGATTTTTATTGTTTCTGTTGTTAAATCTGGTGAGAATTTGTTATACAGCAGTTGATAATTAACCCAGTGAGTGCTCAATAATTGCCAGCCCAGTTGTTGTTGCTTAGCCACAAGTATTATCCATCGGTGACTGTTAAAAAAGTCTATTGTGAGAATCTAAAAGCATTCTTCATTCTGCATGTGAAACCACTTCGTTCAGGACATCTCTTAATGTAGATGTTTATAAAGTAAAGTAAAATAGCTAGAGGAATGACAGAAACCAAGTGGTGGTATTGGGTAGTATATTATTTCAAAGACATGAAAACTCAACAAACTACATTCACAAGGTTGCCAAGGGAAAGGAAAATTCATGTGTGTTATTTCAAAAGTCTGATTGCTGAGGTGAGTCAGTGAAAGTCATAGCTTGAAAGGTGGAAACTCAACACGAGAGCTTTCTAACATCGAGATGTCCAGCAACACATGAGTGTGCCTTGGAGGGATACACCCTGAACGGCTGGTTCCCGCCAAGACTAGTGATCACTGAGCAGACCACTGCTGGCTGACCACTGAGTGGCCTATTAGAGTAGCTGGTCTCTGCGTTCCCTTTCTACTCCAACCATATCTAAATCCCTCTAGAAAGAGCAAATGTAGTCAGTTACTTTCATGCTCTGTTATTTTTATACTCAGATTGGATGCCCATCTGTCATGTCTGAATACCCAGGTCTTTGGCTTATTAATTCAGTGTCACTACAGGGTCCTCCCTTCCATCCTCCCCCCTAGGCAAAATACACTTGTCTCTCCCATCTGACCATTTTGTAGCTTCCTCTCATCTTTCGCCAGATTAATGTATGTTCTTTGGCTTATAATGATGCTAGTTCTTACAGAGCTGCCTGACCAGCCATCTGACAGCACTCACATGTTGGATCTTTTTCCAAATTGCCACATGTTTCTCCAGGTAGTATTTATCATGCTTTTTCTCAGATTCTTGGGCACCAGGCTTTCCCACCAAAATGTATAGATAAGAAAATAGTAAGATTGTCTATTTCAGCAATGTGAAAGGACTCAAGACAAATTTCTACCTCCAAAAATCTAGATGAAGTAGTCTTTAGTTAAACAGTTGCAGATGATATTACCCTAATTTTAAATTCATTTTAATTAAGAATCTATGATTCTTTTTGTTTCAATTGAATAAGTGCATATGTTAAGATGTCTCTTCAAAATATGAATTTTCACCTCCTTAAAAACTAATATGACTAGTACTCATTAAGATCCTTGTTTGCAAATGAGAGAAGCACAATTCAAACGAAGCTTGGTCCAAATGGCAAATTCACTGCAAGAGTAGAGGAAGTGTGGGAAAGATGACTTTGTGCCTGGGTTGTGGGTACCCCGGGGAGGCAGTGCTCTCTAAAAAGGAGACCCTCAGGCAGCCTGAGGAGAAAAGGCTGACTTCCAAGAGGAGGCAGCACCCATGATAATTTCCCTTGACAATACAGAGAAACAGACTGATGAGCCTAAGAGAACCACCATTGCCTGGAGGAGTTTCACTGCAAGCTCGGGCAATTCATCAGTATTGGAACCAGCACTGTTAACTGCATTCTCACATATTGCTGCTCATTTGTGAATAGTGTCAGATAGAGGTGGAGCTGTGGTACTAAAGATAGTGAAGATAGGGTCTGGGCTCAACTTAACACTGGGGAAGGAAATAATGGCACATCGAAAAAGAAAATATATCCCTGGAAGTCTTCTGCTAATTTCTACACATTCTTCAGCTTAAACATAGCTTCCCCAGCATTGCCTCTCTGCCTTCCAGATAAGACTAGATTTCCCCTCCCTGTTAAGTGCCTCCAGAGCAATATGGACATTTGCAAAGATTTTGAACTCTTGAAATTATTTATTTATTTGATTCCCACTAGACTATTGATTCCCAGATAACAAAGAGTCATTAATTCTATGTCTGTTCCCTGGCCTAGTTAAGGGTCTAGGATTTATATAACAGACACTAAACTATATATTCACTGACTTCTGGGTTAACAGTGGGCTTAACTGTATCACCTTTAGTCTACTCGGCTCCAGTCTGAAGACAATCCTATCAAACTGCAAAGTGCAAATATCAGAAGTTGTAAGCAAGTTTCTATGACTTTGTATACTCCAGGTTCATACTTTTTCATAGTGTGTTTAGAAATAGTTTTAAAACTCATGAAAGAAACAAGAAGGGTGAGAATTAAGAGATTAAATTGTTTAAAATTTGATAAACTTTTTTTTAATTTCCATTAGCATGCCCTCCTGTCACAGGAATAAAATGAAAATGACAGCTCCAAAGTGCTCTGTGCGTCCCTCCTAACAAACTATTTTAACCACAGTAGGTTCTCAATATTTTTTCTTGATTTAAATGCTCCAAAGGGAGTTGATGCCACTTCGCCAAGGACTGTCCTTTTTAAATCCACTCATTGCTAACCAAATTCAGAGGCAGAGCCAGACAGTGGAAGACAGATTTGGCCCGATGAACACGGTAAAA